GCATCAGCGGGACCCACAGCATGGACCTGGTGGCTCTGGAGCCCTTCGGGGAGTACGTGTCGCTGCCCGGCCTGGACTGCACCTTCCCAGGGTAAGCGCGGGGCTCCGCAGGGGACGCGGAGCGGCCTTTCGGGGGCCACCCCGTCCCCAGCAGCGCCTCCTCCCGCAGCGGCTACAGCAGCTTGTCCGAGCGCCTCCTCTCGGCTCTGCCCGAGGGCACCGTCCTGCTCAACAAGCCAGTGAGGACCATCCGGTGGCGAGGGTCCTTCCGCGAGGAAGGGGACGATTCCAGGGATTTCCCTGTCCGGGTGGAGTGTGAAGATGGGGACGCCTTTCTCGCCGACCACGTCATCATCACTGTCCCGCTGGGTGAGGAAATGAGGGCACCCACCCTTCTCCTTGCCCTGCCTGTCCCCTCCAACCAGCCAGCAGGGTTGGAGATGGGCAGGTGGAGGGGAGGGATTGCCCAAACCCCTTCCCAGCCTCTCAGATGGGAATTCTAGTGGGAGAGGGGAGGCTGGGAAGGGACTTGGGGAGGGCAGAGTATCTCAGATGCCATTTAGGAATCCGGCTCAGAGCTGCCTGATCTCCTGCTCAATCTCCTGCCCGATCTTGTGCCTGCAGGTTTCCTCAAGGAACGCCACCAGGAATTCTTCCAGCCTCCCCTTCCCGAGTGGAAAGTGGAGGCCATTCGCCGCCTGGGCTTTGGCACCAACAACAAGATTTTCCTGGAGTTCGAGCAGCCTTTCTGGGAACCTGAGCAGCAGCTCCTGGAAGTGGTGTGGGAGGACGAGTCGCCCCTGGAGGAGCCCAGTGCCGACCTGGAGGCCAACTGGTTCAAGAAGCTCATCGGATTCGTGGTCCTCCAGCCCCCGGAGCAGTACGTGAGGGGGATGTGGGGCGTCTCCCAGGCCTGCTCTGGGTGGCTGGTGGCCCATGAGGTGGGGCAGGGAGGGCACCACAGCCCCAGCGAGCAGCAGCTGTGAGCTCTGTGTCCCTGCCCAGGCACGGGCACGTCCTCTGCGGCTTCATCGCGGGGAAGGAGTCGGAGCACATGGAGACGCTGAGCGACGCCGAGGTGCTC